CACCAATTAAGTCTCGTCTGCAATCACAGATGGCCACAGCTGGAAGGAAATGTTCACTCTCTCTTTCCCTCCCTCTCCCTCCCGCTACCTCCCTCCCTCTCTCTCACTCTCACTCTCACTCTCACTCTCACTCACTCACTCACTCTCTCACTCACTCACTCACTCACTCACTCACTCTCTCTCTCTCACTCACTCTCACTCTCTCTCTCTCTCTCTCTCTCTCTCTCTCTCTCTCTCTCTCTCTCTCTCTCTCTCTCTCTCTCCTCTCACACACACACACACACACACACACACACACACACACACACACACACACACACACACACACACACACACACACACACACACACACACACATACACATACCAGAGAGAGAGAGAGAGAGAGAGAGAGAGAGAAGAGAGAGAGAGAGAGAGAGAGAGAGAGAGAGAGAGAGAGAGAGAGAGAGAGAGAGAGAGAGAGAGAGAGAGAGAAGAGAGAGAGAGAGAGAGAGAGAGAGAGAGAAGAGAGAGAGAGAGAGAGAGAGAGAGAGAGAGAAGAGAGAGAGAGAGAGAGCGAGCGAGAAACAAGACGAGAGAAGACGAAGACAGTAAGAAAAGGCATGAGCACTGATGGACTAGTCAACACCACAAAACGAGAAGAAGAAGGAGAAGAAAAAACTCAAACGCAGACACATATGGGCATACATACATAATACATACACCACGGCAACACCATCTTAACGCGAGACACTGAACCCTTAGAAACACGCCACCGACACGAAGATAACAGAGAGATAAGGAAAGCAGGAAACGCAAGAAGTACAAAAATACCAAATTACACAACACCAGACCCAAGACTACTACAACACCACAACACCAGACCCAAGACCGCCACAACACCAGACCCAAGACTACTAACAACACCACAACACCAGACCAAGACCGCCACAACACCACCCACAGCAACACCACACCAGACCCAAGGCTACCACAACACCAGACTTAAGACCACCACAACACCCAAGACCCAAGGCTGCCACAGCACCACAGGAACACCCCAACACCAGACCCAAGACCGCCTCAACACCAGCCACAAGCCGCCACAGGAAGCCACGAAGCCCCAAGCCACAGGTCCCCAAGCCACGGCGTCGTCGTCGGCCTGTCCTCACGAGGCAAGAGAGGACATCCTGCACCCGCTGAAGGAGCAATATTGGTATCCTGAAGGAGGGTTCCGCTTGCTTCACGAGGGAGGACGAGAGGTCTTACATCCTCCGTCCGCCTCAGAATTATCTTGGGGTTGGGGGTGGAGGGAGGGTGAAGGGGAGGGGGAGGGTGGGGGGAGGGGTGGGGAGGATGGAGGGTGGGGGGGATGGGGGAGGGGGAAGGAAGGGAGGGAAAGGAGAAGGGGAAGGGGAGGGAGGATGAGGGAGGGGATGGATGGGGAAGGTGGAAGGAGGGAGGGAAGTAGGAGAGAGGGAGAAGGGGGAGGGAGGATGGAGGGAGAAGGTGAAGAAAAAAAGAAGAGGAGGAGGGAAAGAAGAGAATAAGGAAAGGAGGAAGAGTAAAGGGAAAGGGAGAAGGAGGAAGAGGAGGGGAGGAGGAGGGGGTCTTATAAGTGTGCGCGTGGATGGATAGTATTCGACCGTGAGAGATGAATGTATTGACAGAGATGAGAGAAAGATAGTAAGAAACTTGAAAGAAATAGAGAGAGAGATAGAGAAAGAGAAAGAGAGACAGAGAAAGGGAAACAGTAGAGAAAGAGAAGAGAGCTAGACCGAGCGAGCGAGCGAAAGAGAGAGCGAGAGAGAAAGCTAGGGGATTCCCCCGACCTGTACAGAGCACCAGAACCATTAGGAAGTGCATCATTAGTGATCTAAATCGGAATGATCCTCTTCCCCGAAAATCAATTTCTATGACGCCGAGGCCAACCCCCTCCCCGCCCCACCCCACCCCCCCCTTCCACCTTCGCTGAGGGCTTCTTCCACCACCCGCCCATTTTTTCTCGAATCATTTCTATGGTCGTCTTTTCCCCCTGCCATTTTTTTTTTTCTCTCGTCCCCCACTTCTTCCTCCTATGCGACGGTCAGTTCGATTTGCCGCCGCACCCACCCCCCTCCTCCTCTGCCGCGGGCGTGTTTTCTGCCCCACCTTTTGCTTCCTCTCACCGCCCGTCTCCGTCCCCCTCGTGTCATGGGCGTCTCCCCCCCTCCCCCCCCCCGCTAACCTTTCGATTCTTCTCTTCGCCCCCACCCCATTGGGCGTTTCCTCCCCCCCCCCTCCCCCATCTTTCGATTCCTCTCGACCGCCCCCTCCCCCTATGGGCGGGTCTTCTACCTCGAATCTCGTATTGGCAATTCCCCATAACTGTCATTCCAGTCCGATATGCATAAAACTTTTTTTTCTTCTTTTTCTTTTTTTGAGAATCCAATATTCATTTCCACTCTCGGAGGGCAGGAATAAGAGAAGGGGAAAAGGGGTTTCGGGGAATGGGATAGCATGCGTTAGGGGGAGAGGAGAGGAGGGGAGAAAGAGGGAGCATGCTGAGAAAGCGCTGATGGTGAAGAAGGGAGAAGGGGGGAGGAGGGAAGGTGGAAGGGGGAAAGGGGAAAGAGCGAAAAGGGAAAGGAAGAGGGGGAAGGGGAAAGGGGAAAGGAAGGGGGAAGGGAAAGGGAGCCGAAAAAGGTAGGGGAGGGGAGGAGCACAAGAGCTTAAGGGAGAGAAAACAGATTAAGAAAGCACTGAAGGGGAATTGGGAGGGTGAAGTGAGCAGTCACAAGCTACACCTGAGGGGAGATGGGTTTCCAGGGGGGGGGGGAGAAGGGAGGGAGAGCAGGCTTCGAAAACCCTGGGGAGAAAAGGGAAAGGAAGCAGGTACATCAGATGAGGGGAGGAAGTGAATGCATTCTTAGAGGGGTGGGGCGAGGAAGGGAAGGTAGTGGGAAGGAAGAACAAGTATACACAGCACATGAGAAAGAATGGGGAAAAGGGGGGGGGGGGGGAAGGGAGGAACACACAAGACCGGAAGGGGAAAGGGGAGGGGGGGAGGAGAGGGCACTCAGGCTTCCAAGAACCGTCATGGAGGTACCATTCCGCAGAAAATATGCACCGGGAATGAACTATCACCTTCGCCTGTGGCCTTCGTACAGCCATTTCCCACCTCCGTGACGAAGTATTCTGGTATTTCTTGTATCACAATCGGCAACGAATGATATTGAACCTTTATGGATGATAAATTTGTATGTGTGTGTATTTGTATGTGTGCGTCTGTGGATGTGCGTCTGTGTGTTCATGTGTGTGTATGATGTATACGTATATAGATTTTTGTTTGTGTGGTGTATGCACGTGTCTCAGAGATGAAATTATGGCTCTGATGATATTGAAGGTAAAACTGTCACACGCTCTACCTGTCCTGAGGCGGGTCCATGATATACAATATGATGCTTTGTGAGGTAAATGGAATTTCATCAGTTATATACGAAAAGTGCGCCATGTATCAACGAATAAATGGTAGCAGCGGTGGGGAGGGAGGAGGGGAGATAGGGAGCAAAGAAAGGAGGGGAGGAGGGAGGAGGAGGAAGCAAGGAGAGGGGGGAAAGGAGGAGAAACGGGAGAAGAGAAAGGAACAAGTATAGGAAGGGAAAAGGGAGGAGGGGGAAGAGAGACGGGAAGGGAGCAAAGAGAGGAGGGTAGGAGGAGAGGCAGGGAGGAAGGGAAGGGAGAGGGTGGAGGGGGGAAATATACCCCGCCGATAGCGCTTCTCGGAACGATAAGTAAAATCCTTAATTGGATTTTGTACGTTGCGAGTTCGGCTTTGCTGATTCAGTGCAATACTTAAGATGATTATATCTGATTTTTTTCTTCGTCTTTTATTTCTTTCTTTTTTAGATTAAGGTTTCTGATACGAAAGATTAGATTGATTTTTTTTTTTTTTTTTTTTTTTTTTTTCTTCCTGTGCTATGATGATACACAATGCGTTGTGTGTTATATTAGCTTACCGTCTGATAACTTCTTGTCATGCAAAGGAAATATTTCGGAACATCGGTCAGTAACCAGCTAAATATAGAAGAGTATCCAGTAAAAGTCAAAGGATATTTGACGCTCATACACACGCTCTGTTCCTGCATCCGCACCCGCTCATACACACACACACACACACACACACACACACACACACACACACACACACACACACACACACACACACACACACACACACACACACACACACACACACACACGCTCATAAATAAATACGCTTGCACGCACGCACGTTCGCGGGCACACGCACACGAGCACACAAACGCATACATTTATTTAATTGTCTATCTTTCTATAGCTGTCTATATCTATCTATCTATCTGTCTGTCTTTATATTATATAATCTGTTATGTTTTCATTTTAGCCATATGACATATATGATATCATCTGGCATATTTTCATTTAAATTTATATTTTCCTTTTATATCTATACTCATCTTTGCATTTATTTTTAAACTGATCAGCAGGTATTTATATTTAAGATTATTAATGTATCCATGGAAAAGGGTACATACATTTGTATTTTCATTTATCTGGTGACGTGCAGTTTTCAAGCAATTATGAAAATGACAGATTACACTTCGCTGCTTAATTAGAGCGTACTGGACTTGATTTTGTAGAAATGCGCAGATTTCAATTTTATTAGCATGCTGATAGACTTTCTCTCTCTCTCTCTCTCTCTCTCTCTCTCTCTCTCTCTCTCTCTCTCTCTCTCTCTCTCTCTCTCTCTCTCTCTCTCTCTCTCTCTCTTCTTTTCTTTCTTTTTCTTTATATTGATTGATGTTTCCTAGAGAACTAAATTATGTTATATTCATCTTTCTATATTATTTTTCTTTAATTTTTTTCGTTACCTCATATATGTAGTTGTGTCGTTTATTGATATCATAATTTCAATCATAATTTAATGGTTTTAATGTTAATATAATATGATAGTCTTCATATACTGATTGACATGTTTTTTTCTTTTCCCCCCAGATGATGACCGTTAACCGATGAGATGGATTCTGAGGGCCGCACGAGGTCGGGGGCCAATCGCAGTAGTAGTAGGCGAGGCCCGCGCTCTGATTGGCGGAGCAGCAACCAATCCGGGAGTGCCAATTCCTCCGCCAATCAGTACTCGTCGAGCGACGAGGACCCAGAAGTGAGCAGGAACACTGGCAGGGGCTACCGCTCGGCGCAGAGGACAGGTAAGGCTACGTCCAGGCTACGAGGCTACGGAGGCTTGTTCTTTCTCTACTTTATCGGGTCTAACGGAAGGAGTCTAGCGCACACGTTAATACATACATACGTGCAGACTGACAGAGGGAGAGACAGATACGCACATGCACGCGCGCGCACACACACACACACACACACACACACACACACACACACACACACACACACACACACACACACACACACACACACACACACACACACACACACACACACACACACACACACACACACACACACACACACACACACACACACACACGACACACACACACACACACACACACACACACACACACACACACACACACACACACACACACACACACACCTGACTCGCACACATACATCGCACAGCGTGTGTGTGCGTATACATAAATCCTTGTACCGAAGTTCTTTCCGCTGTAATTACCCTGTAGAAGCAATGCATTTAAAAGGCCTTCGGTATGTTCATGTGTTTTCCAGCCTTTCCCTCGCTAATTACAATACATAAATACACGCATACATACACGCATACAAACAGGTACGATACATGCACGAAAAATATAATCGTATAATTGAATACGTACATACACCTGCTTACTCCTACACCTATGATATTTTCCCGGTAAGAATATAATGTACTTTGGCTTAAAGTTCCAGTTTTAAGCCCCATCAAATGCCGTAGTTTACAATTTAATGGACTAACTCTGCCTTTGATATGACGAGATATTCACAAACTTTTAAGCTCAGCTGGGTGGAAAAGCACCTGTAAATCCGCTCATATCCACACGTGCAGCTAACGCACACATATATCCTTACGCACACATATATCCTTACGCACACATATATCCTTACGCACACATATATCCTTACGCACACATACATATACATAGGCATACACCTACACATACATACACATACGCAACTCACATACACACACAGACACCGACACGCACACGCACACACACGGAAGCGTCGTGTGCGTCTTGTGTGTAATTTACTCTATTTACTCTCGGCGGCGCCTCAAAATGTGTGAGTTTTTGTCCCTGTTTAATCGGCATGTGTTGAAGGCGACGGGGATTTCGGTCCGTAAAGCAAGGGTCCGTAGGGAACATATTGGCTTGTCGGAGTGGCTAGGATCTACATTTGGACAGACAGAAACGCCTATATATTTCCCCTTGTCCATTGACTTTCCATTAGGAGCCGCGGAAAAATGCATTTTGCTCTACATTATGGGGTTTTATCTCGGTCGCTCTTTTGCTCTGTCGCTCAGTCGGTCATTCTCTCTCTCTCTCTCTCTCTCTCTCTCTCTCTCTCTCTCTCTCTCTCTCTCTCTCTCTCTCTCTCTCTATCTATATATATATATATATATATATATATATATATATATGCTCTCTCTCTCCCTCTTCCCCCCTTTCAAGAGGGGGGGGCTGAAAAGGAAATAGGATAAAAAGGAAGTACTGGGAAATGGAAAGAAAAGGAAAGGAAGGAAGAAGAAAAGAATATAATCGCAGAGAAGAAAAATAGCAAGAAAGAGGGAATAGAGTAGAAAGGGGAAAGGAAAATCCGGGAAGAGAGAAGAAGAGCAGAAAAAAGGAAAAGGGGAAAACAGAAAGAAGAGAAGAAGGAAAGGGAAAACGAGAAAAAAAGAGGGAAAGGAAAAATGGGGAAGAAGAAGAGGGGAAGGAAAAGAGTAAAACAAGAAAAGAAAGAAGGAAAGGGAAAGAACTAGGGAAAAGGGGAAACAGAAAAAAAAAGGGGAGAAAGGAACGGGGGAAGGAAAAAGAGAAGAGAAAAAGAAGGGGGAAGGAAAAGGGTAAGGGGGAGAAACACTGTTGACGCAGAGGTGGCGACGTCCTGCAAAATACGTCCCATTGGAAAGCCTCAATTTACATATTCATTGGACTAGAATTTTATTTTTTGGAGGGGAAAAAAAGGGGAAATCCCAGAAAAGGGGAGCTAAAATATGGGCAGGATCAGCAGTTCATTTATTCATAAGAGGCCGAATTTGATCCATTTAGTAGCGGTGATTATTAGAGCGGATGCGTGTGCGTGGCGGGTTTTTGTGTGGGTGGTGAGGGGTGTGTGTGGATTTTTGTGTGTGTGTAAGGGGGGGGGGTGTTTGGATTTTTGTGTGGGCGTGTGTGGTGTGTGTGTGGGGGGGGGGTAGGGTATGGATGTGGTGTGTGTGTAGGAGGGTAGGATGGGATGTGGATATATGTGTTGGGGGGTTGGATTTTGTGAGGGGGTGATGGGTGTGTGTGTGTGGGGGGTTAGGTGTGTGTTGTGGTGTGTTGTGTGGGGGGGGGTTGTGGATGCGTGTGTGTGTGTGTGTATGTTTATGCTTGTGTGTACATACCTGTATATCTCTGTCTGTTTACATGTGTATGTATACGTGGGTACTGTGGGTACACAGCATAAGCAGTAGGAAAGGGAAGGGAGGAGGAAGGAGGAAGGGGAGTAAGAGAGGGAAGGAGGAAGAGGAAGAGGGAGAGGAGAGAAGAAGGAGAATATGAATATTAAGAGAAAACGAAAGAATAGAATGAGAAGAACTGAGTAAAGATATTTGAAAATAAGAAGATGAAGGAGAAGAAGCAGAAGAAAAAATAGAGTATAAGCAAGAGAAGGAGGAGGAAGAGAGATGATGATGATGATGATGATGATGATGATGATGATGATATGATGAATGATGATGATGATGATGATGATGATGATGATGATGATGATGATGAGACGACGACGACGACGACGACGACGACGACGACGGCGATGAGAAGATGAAGAAGAGAAAGCAGAAGAAAAAGAAGAGAAAGAAGAAGAAGAAGAAGGAGATCAGAAGATGCTGACAGCGTGAATAGGATTCCTCTTCCTCTTCTTCTCTCTCGGAAAAAGCTCCTTTGCCGAATTTTCTCAAGTGGACCATCAATAATGACAACCTTCTCGTGAGCGGAAGCCCCCTTGAATAGGGTTCAGAGGCCTCGAATGAAGCTTTTTTTTTTCCTTTGAGGGGTAGGGGTGGGGGGGAGGGGGTGAGGGGAAGGGGTAGGAGGGTGGAGGGGAGGTGAGGAGGAGGGAGGGGAGGAGGAAGGGAGGAGGAGGGTGGGGAGGAGGAGGAGGAGGAGGAGGAGGAGGAAGGCGAGGAGGGGGAGGGAGAATGGAGGAGAAGGAGAAGGGGGAGGAGGGTAAGGGTAGGTGATGGAGGAGAGGAAGGGTAGGAGAAGAGGAGGAAAGGTGGATCTGGAGGAGGAGGGGGGAGGTAAGGTGAGGGAGGGGGAGGGTAGGGGATGAAGGAGAAGGAGGAAGGGTGGGGAAGAGGATGAGGAAGGATGGGGAAGAGGAGTGGGATAAGGGGAGGGAGGGGATGTGGGGGTGGGGGATGGAGAAGGAGGAAGGGTGGGGAGGAGGAGGAAGGGTGGGGAGGAGGAGGAGGAAGGATGGGGGAAGAGGAGGAGGAGGGGTGGAGAAGAAGAGGAGGAGGGGGGGGGTGAGAGCTTCTCTTTCTTTAAAGGGGTAAAAGCGAAGGTGGGTAAGGAGAGGGGGGAGAGACAGGTGTTTTTTCTTGAAAGGGTTGGAGATAGGGGGAGGGGGGATAGGGAGGGGAAGGGGAGTGTACACCTCTCATAGACAAAAAAAAGGAAAAGAAGAAGAAGAAGAAAAATGCATCATTATAGGACGTGAGGCATCAAAGTACTGGAATTAATGAGGAGTTGCAAAGGGAGATGCATAATGACGTCACGGAAATGTGTTTTATGAGAGGTTCGACTTTCGAGTGATAACCTTTTGCTGTTTTTGTTTTTTTTTTCATTGTTTTATTTTATTTGTTCGAGTTGGTTGATTTTGCTAGCATTATGTTTATTGTTGTTTTTATATAATGATGATGATATCTTTTGTTATCATTATTATTATTATTTATTATTTTATTATTAAAGATAATGATAACAGTAATAATGCTATTTTTATTATTATCATCATCATCATCATCATCATCATCATCATCATCATCATATCATTATCATTATTTTTATTATTATTTCCGTTATGACTACCAGTATAATTATCATTTCGTTCCTTGTTAATGTTTTATTTTTGTTGGTGTTTGCGCTATACACATGTACGCATGTGTGTCTGTATATGTTACACCATTGAGAAAAAAAAAAAAAAAAAAAAACACCTTCCACTTTCCTCGTCGGCTTGAGGAGGGGGAGGGGGGTAGGTGGGGAAAGGTGGCGGGGGGGGGAGGGGGGGCTCACCTCAACCACAGACGCTCTCTGAATTTGCATATGTATAATGTATTCAGGGTGTCGGCTGTCGAAATTTACACTGAAATGCATATACTTTTGAATTGAGAGGAGGGAGGGAGGGAGGGAAGGAGGGAAGGAGGAGGGAGGGAAGGAGAGATTGAGGGAGGGAGTGAGAGAGAAAGGAGGAGGAAGGCAGGCAGGGAGGGAGGAAGGCAGGCAGGGAGGAGGGAGGAGGAGGCAGGCAGGGTAGCAGGCAGGAGGGAGGAGGAAGGAGGAGGGAGGGAGGGAGGAGGGAGGGAGGGAGAGGGAGGGAGGGGGAGGAGGAGGGAGGAGGGAGGAGGGAGGAGGAGGAGAGAGAGAGGAGAGAGGAGAGATGGAGAGATGGAGAGATGGAGAGATGGAGAGATGGAGAGATGGAGAGATGGAGAGATGGAGAGATGGAAGAGGAGAGATGGAGAGAGGAGAGAGAGAGAGAGAGAGGAAGAAGAAGAGAGAGAGAGAGAGAGAGAGAGAGAGAGAAGAGAGAGAGAGAGAGAGAGAGAGAGAGAGAGAGAGAGAGAGAGATGCATTATGGCTATATAGTTACATACTCACGTTCACTTGCTCACCCCCCCCCTCATCTCTCTCCCTCTTCCTCTCTCTCCCAACCCCCCTCTACTCCCTGTTTCTTCTCAGTTTTGAAATATAACCTTAAGAAAATATTGCATACATTACCAAGAAGTTATTTTTAGAAACTTGAAGACAAA